TGTACGGGATACAAATTGAGGGAGATTATCAATCAGTGGAGATATGATTATAAACACACGAATAATATTCTAAACATATAATAGAATAAGTAAGTTACAGTATCTTAAACTGTGATTCTGTAAATTAATGTTTGACACGCTCACGACAAATGTATTTATATAAGACTCACCTACAGCCACATTTTCGTATCTTCTATCATCTAAAACTGCGTCGTCTGCCGAGAAAAACACTTTCTGTAACATTGTATTGTTCCAAGATATCATTTGAATATTATAAATGAAATAATATATGGCATTGAGTAAAACATAACAGGTCACTTATAATATTAAACTAATTTTAATTCGCCGACCTGTGTTTTTTCTATTTTGACTTCTTCTTTTCAAAAATATTATAACAGGAACAATGGTAATCGCCAACAAAATAAGGATAACACTTGGCACGACGTATACTGCAGCGTCGGTATGTGCGGATCTACTACTATCAACATTGCGTGGTGGCTGAGCTATAAATACAGATATTATCCTGTTAATTATGTTAAAAAAGATGGAAACACGTGTTTTGCATAATATTGTAGGCAAACATTATACACTTAATATTCAAGGATTCATCACTTATTGGTTACTGTTTACAGAGGGTAGTTTTTTTTTTATTTTTAAACATACGTTATCGTAATTTCACTATAGCATAATAAAACAAACACACAAATAAATGAAATGTTGTCCCAAGTTATCACATGTTTCAATAGATAGTTAAAAGAAGTTGCCTTTGTCCGTTACTTTGTGTCCCCAGCGATCCGTTCCAACATTGATAAATGCATAAGCTGTACTCGTGTTAATGACGAAATGTTGATTAGAATAAAAACAAATCAAATCCAGGGATCCATGTCACATTTATAGTATTATGGGATGAGGATAACTCGATACATGACACTGGATATGGACTACCTGTTAATTAGAATAAAAACAAATCAAATTCAGGGATCCATGTCACATTCATAGTATCATGGAATGGGGATAACTGAATACCTGACACTGGATATGGACTACCTGTTAATTAAAATGAAAACAAATCAAATCCAGGGATCCATGTAACATTTATATTACTATGGGACGGGGATAATTCAATACATGACACTGGATATGGACTACCATTAATTAGAATAAGGAGTAATTAAATTCAGGGATCCATGCAACATTTATTATATTATTGGATGGTGATTGCTTAATACCCGACACTGGATATGGAGTACCTGTTGATTAGAATAAAAACAAATAAAATCCAGGGATTCATGTCACAATTATAGTATTATGGGCTGGAGATAACTCAATACCTGGCACTGGATATATACTACCTGTTAATTAGAATAAAAAACAAATCAAATCAAGGTATCCATGTCACATTTATAGTATTATGGGATGGGGATAACTCAATACATGACACTGGATATAGACGACCTGTTGATTCGAATAAAAACAAATCAAATACAGGGATCCATGTGACATTTATATTACTATGGGACGGGGATAATTCAATACATGATACTGGATATGGACTACCTGTTGATTAGAAAAACAGAACATATCAAATCCAGGGATCCATGTCACATTTATAGTATTATGGGATGGCGATAACTCAATACCTGCAACTGGATATGGACTACCCATTAATTAGAATAAAGAGAAATTAAATACAGGGATTTCATGCAACATTTATAATATTATTGGATGGTGGTTAACTCAATAATCGACACTGGACATGGACTACCTGTTGATTAGAATAAAACAAATCAATTCCAGGGATCCATGTCACATTTATAGTATTATGGGATGGGGATAACTCAATACCTGACATTGGATATGGACTATATGTTGATTAGAATAAAAACAAATGAAATACAGGGATCAATGTCACATTCATAGTTTTATGGGATGGTGATAATTCAATATCTAGCGCTGAACATGGACAACCTGTTGATTAGAATAAAAAGTAAATCAGTACTAGTATTCTTGCCACATTTACCTGACAATACTATTGACTTTTGACGAGAATGAAATTAAATCAAGTGAGTTTAGTTTTAACTTCACATATATCTTGAACGTTAGTGAGAAATTCAGTTATTGATGACTTACGCCATTCTTACACTTAAAATACAATTAAAACATCTAATAAACAAGACAATGTATGCAAGTCTAATATTAGGGGGAAGTACACAATCTTTATCAACTTGAACTTTAATTATACAGTGTAATTGTTTGTATCAGATAAATAATTACTTACTTTTTCCTTGAAATATTACAATAAATGTTGTATTTGCAAAGTCGCTTTCAGCAACACACGTGTAGTTACCATAATGCTCAGATTTTGTATTACTAATTGTAATTATACTTTCATGTAATGTTCCTTGTGTAGAATTAGATATTGTAATTCTTTCATTGCTGGCGAGTACAGATCCATTTGGACTTAACCATTGTAGTGTAGAGGTAGGGTTGCTATTAATCTGACATCGTAATTCTCCTGTTTCCCCTTCATTAGCTCTTGACTGTTCATTCCGTGTTTTATTCACTGCAATGGGTGTGTCTGGAATGAAATAACTAAATTATTGTACAACTATTTCTATGCAGCAAGTCACATATGATATGCATGTAGGTATGTTTTGAACATAGAAATC